AGCCAGAGAGCCCCCCAAAAAAAAAAAAAAAAAAAAAAAAAGGTAGAACCAAGAGGAGAGAGAAACATAAAATAGCAAAACAAACAGCACAAGATATACAGCAGATATAATTACTGATACAATTTAATTCAGTAAATGAAAATGGAATAAATGTTCCATTATTGAAACCCATTTCTGCAACGTGCGTGTGAATGTGGGTGGAGTGAAGCAGACACATTCCAACCTAGGGCATGAAGATGGACTGTGAACAGTTCACGTTGCATTTTGGTGTCAAACTCAGCAAATTTACTTTGAAATTTTGGAGTTGGAATGTGTGAACCCTCACTACATTCAATAGAAGGAGTGGGTCTGTCAGACTTTCTTTTTTGCTGTACCAGGAATTGAACTCAGGATCTTGTGCTTACCAGGCAGGCACAGCACCACTGAGCTACATCTCAGCCCTGACAGACATTCTTAAGTGAAGAAAGCAAGTTGTAGAATTATCCATACTGTGTAGTTTTGTTTACTCAGAGTTCAAAAACTTGCAAAAAGTAAATAATGTATTTTTAAGGTGTTAAGCTATAATTTGGAAAAAAGGATGCTTTTAAGTTTTTGAAAAGAGATCACGCAGTGATTTTTAAAATAGAGCAAAAAAGAGCAAAGTCTTATTTGCTCTAAGCTCTAGAAATTCAAATTATGTGGTATTAGGACAGAAGGTAGAGAGATAGCTACAATCTAGGACAAATGATCCAAAAATCAGCCTGTGTATTATTCTGAAGATTTAACTTATATTTAACATGGTTCTTCAAACCAGTAGGAAACAGACTTTTCAGTATATGGTATTGCGGGGAATTAGCTATCCATTTACAAGATGGTAGGATACATAGCCCTGCCTTATACTACCTATACAACACACAGCATTAGGCCCAAACAGCAGAAGCCTTGGGAAACTGTATGAGTCATGTTTAAAATCCCAGAGTGAGAAATGCATCTTTTAGGTCAAATACAAAATCCTTGAAGGAAAAGACTGGCAGATTTTTAAAGTGTGGTGCAATCAAGAAAACACAGCACCGGGGATTTAGCTCAGTGGTGCCACTGCCTGCCTCACAAGTGCAAAGTCCTGAGTTTGATCCCTGATACCAAACAAAAACACACACAAATGTTAAATGATAGTCTGTAAGAAAATACTTGTAGTATCTGTGATATTCACATATTTACCAAACAGGATCTATGAAGACATACTAGAGAGCAATGTATAAACTCTTCTAAAAACTGGGCAGAGTGGGGCTGCACCTGCCTGGCAAGCACACAGGTCCTGAGTTCAAGTCCCAGTACAATGATAATAAAATAAATAAAAATAAAAACTGAGCAGAGGGGCTGTGGATGCAGCTCAGTGGTAGAATGCCTGCCTACCATGCACTGGGCCATCTTTGATCTCAGTGTGATGGGGGAGGATAGAAAAATGGGTAAAGTCTGCATCCCAAGGAAGATACCAAAGGATCACCAAACATGAAAGAGTTGGCAAAAATAAGAAAGATGAATATAAGTGGAATTGGTAAATGACAGGTAAGAGTAATTCTGTTTTATTGGTTTTTCAAAGAACTCATTTTTGATCATTGTCCATTTTTCCTTTAATTTATTAATCTTTCCTGATTCAATTTTTAAACTTCCATAACTTTATTTTGTTCTTTTTCTAGCTTCTCAAATGAGTTGCTTTGCCATTGTGTGGATTTTTTTCCTAATGACCCATTTAGAGCTATTGATTGTCTTAGGGTTTTGATTGTCTCATGGGTTTTGAGGTATCCTGCTCTCACTGTTGTTCATTTTTAGATAAATTTGCGTTTCAGTCTTGATTTTATTTTTCACTCAGGAGAGAATTAGAAGGGTATTTGGGAATGTATGTCAATAGAAATGTTTTATACTTTTGTAGTAATTTCTAATTGTGTTACATTTTGGTCACAGAATTAATTATGGTTTCTGGAGATCTGTTGTACATGGGAGAATCTATTTTGTTTGTGGCTTAGATCATGGCCTCCTTCGGTGAATTTCTGATTTGTCTCTTAAGAGCATGGACTCTCTGAGTTATAGACTGAGCATGTTCTCCTATGTTTATTAGATCACTTATTAATTAAATCTTTGATTCGATTCTGTTAGTTTTATTAAAATACTCATGTACATAAGCAGAGCAGCAATCTTGAAGCTCCCACTGTCAGCTGTCATAGATGTTTCCACTTAATGTGCCAACCAGGTGTGGTAACTACTTCTATGATCCCAACTATTGGAAGGCAGAAGCAGGAGGATCATGAATTCAAGGCCAACTAGGGCAACCGAGACCCTATCTCAAAGGGTCTGTAACTGGGGTGTAACTCAGTGTTAGAGTGCCCCTAGGTTCAGTCCCCAGTACTGCAAAAGAAAAAGAAGGAATGGGCGTGAGTGCTTAGCCTGCTCTCTTTCACTCAACTTTAGATTTTGTTCAGTGCCTGCCACGAGACTGAGGACTCAGCATCCCGCCTCCCCTACACACCATCCTTTCCTTATCCACCCATGGTTCTTGGATTGTATGTCTCCCTGGATGCCAACCCCAACACTTGCTGTGGTTAGTGTTTTCCACAGCTAAGGAAGGCCCACAGTGGGATGATGTTTCCTTTCTTGTATGGCCTTTTGTTTTTCCTTTGAGGCAGTGGCTGTCTCTTCTGCTCCTCTTCTTCCTGCCTCCTTTCTTCCCCTTCTCCTTTTCTGTTTTCTATTATCATTTCCAAACTTTCTGACATGTCTGTGACTTTCCTCTCACAGATAGCCTTGCACACTAGGTCACCTGGGACTTTGCTCTTTTCTTGGCAGCAGCCTTCTAGAGGCCTTGGCCTTCCTGCCCCAGCTGGCCTGACTGCCTTCAGGGTCATTTGCAGCTCTCTCCTTTCCTCCCTGACTCAGGAACACCTATTTCCTGGGACTTTGGTTTTTCTATTTCTCTATTTACTCCCAGAGCATACCATCTAGCAGCTTCATCCAAAGGAGTTCACAGGATGTTAATGTTTTTGAGACTTTTAAGACTTTACAGCTGGGCGTGGTAGCACATGCCTATAATCTCAGCACATGACAGGCTGATGCAAAAGGATTGCTGCAAGTTTAAGGCCAGCCTGGGCTGCATAGTGGGTACAAGTCCAGCCTGAATTAGAGTGAAAATTGTTTCAAAAAATCTAAAAAAGGGCCGGGGATTTGGCTCAGTGGTTCCGCCACCTGCCTGGCAAGGGCAAGGTCCCGAGTTTGATCCCTGGTACCCAAAAAACAAAAACCTAAAAAGCCTTTGCCTTCACCACCACTTGGCTTCTGCACATCCCCTATAATGGCTAAAACAGCAGTGGCCTCCAAGGAAAAAAATGAAGGAGCTGTCCATGCTGTCACTGATCTGCTCTTGCTTCTACCTAGAACCCCACAACATCAACATCTACACTTACAATGGATGTGAAAGTGAAGCAAATCAACAAACATGTCTCTGGCCAGGCTTTTGAGCTGTCACCATCTTTTATCTCAGAAGCCCCTCAAACTTTGGCTTCTCCAAAGAAGAAAGATTGGTCCCTGGAGGAGATCCAGAAAAAAATGGAAGTTGCATCAGAAACACGAAAGTCTCAGGAGGCCCACCCAGGTGCTGAAACGGTTGGCAAAGAGGGAGCATGAGCTAGAAGTCCTTCAGAGGCTTTAGAGGGCAGAGGAAAAGTTGATCCTGAAAATGGAACAAATCAAGGAAAACGGTGACTTAGCTGCTATTACTGAACATCTGCAGGAAAAGGAAAGGCGTGCTGTGGAGGTGTGCAGAAACAACTCCAGGTTAAACTGTCCATCTGAAGAGATGGAAGGTATGGTATGTCTGCCTGCCTATATTATAATGGATCTTGAGATATAAGTATGGGAAATGTGTGACATGGTTTAAAAACTCATTATAAGAACAAAAATTTTAAAAATAAAAAAAATTAAAATAAAATAAAAGCCTACAGATGTGACAATACCTTTTTCTACCTCCACACTCGAATGATGCTAGGGATTGAACTCAGGGTCTTGTGCATGCGTTATCACTGAGGCGCGCCTCCAGCCCCTAACTATCTTCAGTGGTGCCAAGTATAGTCACATTACTCAGCCTGGTGTCGTGGTGTATGCCAGTAACTCCAGCATTCTGCGAGGCTGAGGCAGGAAGATTGTAAGTTTGCATACTGCCTGGGCAACAGAGAGACTTAGCAAGACAGTCTTAGCTCAGTACAAAAGCCCTGGATTCTATCAGTGCTGGGGCGGGGAAATACAGACATATACATGTATGTATGTTTACATATAAAGTGTATATATCTCCACATTGTGAAGTAAACTTCCAGGACTTCAAGTCTGAAACTCTGCCCCCATTAAGCACCTCTTGGCTCAACAGCCCCTATGAATCAGCGAATGTCATGATTTCTAGGGACCTCATGCAGGTGGGAACCTGTAATTCAAGCTCTCTGGTGCCAAATAGTGCCTCTGGGTCATCCACAGTCTACTGTGGGTAGAATGCACATCGCTTGCCCATTTGTCCTACGGTGCACACTTGGTTGTGTCCAGGACCACTGGGAACTGTGCTGCTGGAACCCAGATGTGCACACATCTGTCCACTTCTTTGCTTCCAGGGCTTTTGGGTGCAACTCGGGAAGTGGGATTGCTGGTCACACAGTCATTCAGTTTTTGAACTTCTTGAGTAAGGGAAGACTTCAAGTCCCACCAGCTGTTTTTAGCGTGGCACCCCTCTTTCCTTCCAGAGGGAGCTAGACACCCACCCCCGGCATACACACACACAGCTAGGCAGTCTGGAGGACTCTCACAGACAGCCCACGTGGGAAGCGCCCTGCCTCTCTCCTGGTCCCAGTTCAGGGCGAATGGCTCCAGTGCTGGCCCTTGGCCCTCCTCCACATGCGCCTGCCCTTTTGTTGTTTGGAATCCATGAGGGTTTCGTTTAGCTTTAATCTGTTCATGATCATTTTAGAAGGGAGGGACATGTGGTCCCACCCAGGCTGGCTGTGCCCCTGGCTCAGCCTGCGGCCACTGGGTACTGCTTGTGCCCGACCCTGCCCTGTCCTCGCAGGTGTACGAGCCCCAGAAGCACCAGCACCCGGGCCGCCACTGGAGGCTCAGCATCGAGGAGCGCCGGCAGCTGGCTGGGCAGGGGACGCGGGAGCAACAGGACCCGCCCTGCAAGGTGCGAGAATGGGCGTGGCCCTGGCGGGGGCGGGGCCCCCCTCCCTCAGCTCGGACCCCTACCCTGACGCCGCAGACGCCCACAGGACATCTCGCAGATCGTGGCGGAACTCGTGTCCGAAGGTGTGGACAAGGACGTGCTCCTCCCCCAACCGCAGAGATGCTTCAAGTCCAACAAAGCCTTCTGACACTTCCTGGCTCAGAGCGCAACCCTCTGTCAGAATGCAACTTTTCAGGCTCTGGCCTTGAGGCCACCCCGCTCCTAAGAGCTAGCTCAGCCTAGAGTCTGTGGTTCAGCGCCTTTTCTTCACCTCCTGCACTCTGTGGCACAAGGGACGGTGACCCACTCACCCATGGAGGGGAAAACAGACCCTGGGCCTGGTTAAAGGATGGTGGGGGAAAGGCAAAGGGAAAGGAGAGTTCAGCCTTCCCAGGAAAGCCAGGCTGGTCAGCTCTGCACTGCCAGGAGAAAGCTGGGGGCCACCTTAGCCACTTGGACCCGGGCTGCCTACCCTCTCCATGCCAGCATCCTGGTGACAAGCACTTATGGCTGCCCGGGATCGGTCACACCATCAGCTGACCTGACCATTGGATTGGACACTGCTCTGAAGGCCCAGAGTGTGGGGCAGCAGGTAGAGGGCCATCACAGAGGAGACTACCTGGAGCAGGGGGATGTACCTCTGGAGTTGGAAGGGGACACGGGCTGAGAAGGTTTTTGGGCACAGAGGGTCTGAAGCAGCTAAGAGACACTGGCTGAAGAAGTGGTCACCAGGCCTTGGGCCTGTGCTGCCACTGCCTGTCTCAAGAGCCTGGACCCTGGAGAGGGTTCAGAGCTGGGGTGAGTGCAGGATGCATTTGGAGAGACCAAGGTAGAGGGCACTGGGGAGGGAGGCAGGAAAGGAGGGGTGGGGGAGAAGTGCTTTGGATGGGGCTGACTTGGGGGCCCACTGGGCTTCTCTGTTTGGTGGTGGGGGCTGGCAGGCTTTGGGATGAGAAGAGGTGATCATTCCCAGCCCCCAGCAGGAGTCTACCCCATGCAGCTACCTCATCGTGTGTGTCCAGCAAGCCAGCAGTACTGTCCCTGCCCTGAGCTTGCTGCTGAGATGCATACCCGGCAGTGCTGGCCCTTGTTGCCCATTGACTTTGGGTCCTTAGGCCAACTCTAATCTTTTGCACCTGCCTCTCTCCCCTTCTTACTGTAGAACTGAAACTCTCTCCTTCAGGAAGCCTGTGTGCACCACCTAGGTGGGCATCCTCCTCAATTCTGGAGTTTCTGAACGTAATTTTGTTCACCATAGGGGTCCTCTGTGTTTTTAAGATCCCCAGGTTGGGAGAGGGCAGGCCATGAAGCCATTGGGTCCTGGGGCACATCATGACCCCTCCTTCTCCTAAGGTCTCTGACAAGGATAAGGAGGTGCTGTGCTCTAGGTGAGGCCCTTGCTAGGCAGGAAGGTACATGTAGTCCTGTCTCAATGCAGGATAGGAGCTAGCATCAATGGTCACATTGTGGTGACTCATACTGTGTAGTTCTCTTTTCTGAGTGACTTTGAAGGAGAGCCCCCCCACTTTTAGAAAGGGTCTCACTGTAGTTCAGGCTAGTTTTGAACTCACTAAGTAGCCCAGGCTGATGGAGAGCTCCCTGTGATCCTCCTGCCTAAGCCTCCCAAGTGCTGGAATTATAGGCATGTGTTACCATGCCCATGTCCACTGTTACTTTTGCTCCTGACTAGGGGCTAACTGACCTCTACAGTTCTCCCCGCCTGGCCCGGGAGTCTCCTGAGGCTGCAGCCAGAAGGTGGGAGCTGCTAGCCCTGTCCTTTCCAGAGGGTTTCCTGCAGGGAATGGTCCCTATGACAGCCACACTGTTTTTTTTGTTTTGTTTTGTTTTTGCATTACCGGGGTCAAACTCAGGACCTTGCACTTATAAGGCGGGTGTGGTGCCACTGAGCTAAATCCCTGGCCCCACACTGGGGTCTTAAGGCTAGGCCCAGAGCCAGCCATGCTTCTTCCTGGAAGTTAACTATGGCCACAGGCAGCTTGGGGTGGGAGGGAATAAGCACCACCTCTTAGTGAGGACCAACAGAGCGCATGACCCTCTCCAATAGCACAGCATTCTGGGTCAGGTGGCAGTGCCTGGAGATAGTTTGATTGACATAGTCCAGAGGCTGTGTGTTAGTTTCCTGTTGCTCGTGTAACAAACCCCAAGTTTGGTGTTTTAAATCAACACTGATTCACTGCCTGAATTCTATAGAATTTGCTGGCAGGTCTGGGTCTCACTAGGTTAGGATGAAGATGTGGGCAGGGATCTGGGGAGGAACAGCTGTTGGTTTCTCCATCTTCCAGCTTCCTTACCTACTCTTTACCTGCCTTTCCTGCCCTGCTCTTCTCCTGCCTCTGCCTGCTCTTCTCCTGCCTCTGTCTCTCATGCTTAAGGACCTTGTGACATATCTGCCCACCAAGATAACCTAGAGAAACTGCTTTAAGGTCAAGTAGTTAGTGATCTTAAATCCTGTCTGTCACCTAGCACATCACAGGCTTTCATGGGGGGAGGCGGGCAATATGCCTCCCACAGGAAGCTGCTGGAATCTAGTGGGTAGAGGCTGGTGTCCACCAGTGCATGGGATGGTTCCCCAGAAGCACAAGTGATCAGCCTTCCTGTCCATAGCCTGACTGGGAAGAGGGTCTTCAGCAGAAGAGGGTCTTGGAAGGCCAGGAGCCCACACAGGGAGACCTGCCTTGGGGTGAGTAGTGGTTCGCAGCAGTCTTGGGAGGGTCTTGCAAGGATCTCAGGGCACTGGAGTCAGGGAGGCTCAAAGAGCTCCCTTGTGGAAAGGAAGGAACCTGGGGGCTGGTCCAGGCACTGCCAAAGTCCCAGCATCAATGTGGGTAGGACAGGCCCCCAGTCACTGCAAGTGAACACTGCCACAGAATTCTAGACTGCCTGCACTCCTGTTTGGCCACCAGGTCAGTCCAGGTCCCTCCTCAAGATAACAGGGCCCTGTCCCCAGGCAAGTGCCCCTTCTCTGTGAAGCAGCCACCACTCCCTGCTCCATGTGCAGGGTCGCAGCCAAGGAGAGCTCAAGGCCTGGTGGTGCTGACCATGGTGCTTTGTAAGTTCCAATACCACCCTCTGGTTTTATTGCAGCTCAGACTGGGTGCGAGGCTATTGGCACCTGAAGCAAAAGGGGCATGTGCTGCGGCAGCGAGTAGGCACTGATCTTGCCCTGTGAAGGATCAGCAGGGGCACCTAGAAGATGTAGTTCACAGCCTTGCTGAGTGCTGCCACACAATGCCCACATTTTTCCTGTTAGAAGAGAGGACTACATTGGCTTTGCAGAAATACTTGCTCATGACTAAACAATACAATAAAAAATACCTCCCCCACATCTGATCCCTGAAACAGCTTCTCTTGAGGCAGGTAGAAACCATTGTAGCTGTTTGTCAGGCGTGTGAGGGAAGGTCGAGTACACGAAAATACAGAGATGGTCAGAGCTACCACCTACACTTTCAGAAACAAGTTTTATCACCCAAGTGTGGTGGTGCACACCGGTAATTCCAGCACTTGGGAGGCTAAGGCAGGAGGATAGCCATGAGTTTGAGGCCAGCCAGGGCTAAACAGAGTAGTTTAAGGCTAGCCTGAATTACAGTGAGACTGTCCCAAAAAAAGTTCTTAGAGAAGCTTGCTGAAATCAGATGACTGCTTCCCCCTTCTTTGTGTGTGTGAGTAGTAGGGATTAAACCCAGGGCCTTTGCTGAACTACATCCCCCATCCAGACAAGGTCTTGTTCAGCTGCCTAGGCTGGGAGGACTAGATTCCAGGCATATGCCACCATACCTGGTTCTCTGCAAGTTTAAAAGATTCTCCTAAGGCCAAGCATGGTGGCACATACCTATAATCCCAGCACTTGGGAGACTGAGGAAGGAGGATCATTGTGAGTTTGAGGCCAGCCTGAATTATATAGTGAGACACTGTCTCAAAAAATGTTTTTCCTAAGAAGCAGCATATGACTGAGGAAGACCATAAGCTGAAGCCCATTCTGGGCAATTTAGTGACTTAGTGAGAACCTTTCTCAGAAAATAAGAAAGGGCTAGGGGGTGTGGTTCAGTGTAAAGGTCCTGGTTTCAATCCCCAGTATGGCCATACAAAAAAAATTCTCCTAAGCTTACTTGTAGAAATTACAGGAACACTAAATGGTGTTACTCACTCTTTGCACCATTTGGGCAGCATGGAATGACTGCTGGCTTTGAGTGGTGAGGGCCAGGTCAAAACTCCCATTTCGTGCCAGCCCTGCTGTTTCATGTCCACAACAGTCATGGGGTGTGTGTGTGTGTGTGTGTGTGTGTGTGTGTGTGTGTGTGTGTGTTACTAGCGATTGAACCTAGGATCTTGTACTGAGCTATATCTCCAGTCCTTTATCTTAAAGCAAGGTCTTACCAAGTTTTTCAGGCTGCCCTAGAATGTGGATCCTCCTGCCTCAGCCTCCTGTGTACTGGGTTTGCAGACTGTGCCACGAGGTCCAGTAAGATTCCATGACATTTTCATCCTGTGCTGAGCCTTTCAGCTTCCCTTGCTATGAGCTTGCTATCAGGACCTGGGCCACTCAGATTTTTGCTTTGATTTTTATCTTTATTGGATAGACTTAAGGCTAGGTTTTAAATATTTAAAGAACTTTATTCTTCATGTTCTTATGTTTGAAAATATTTCCCTGCATGCATTTACATGCATGAGAGACTAGCCACGTAGATGATTCTTGGGTTGCACTTTCTGTCCCTAAGGTGGCTATGTCTTCAAGCTTTCAATGCTGCTTGAGGAATCAGAGGTTAATTTTTTTTATACCAGTACTGGGAATCACATCCAGGGCCTTCACACTGAGCAACATCCCAGACCTTTTTATTTTTTAAATTTTGAAAAAGGGTTTTGCTAAGCTGCCCAGAATGGCTTCAAACTTGCAATCCTCTGGCCTCAGCTTTCCAGAGTGCTGAAATTATAGGTGTGCACCA